AGGCACAGAAAGAGAAAGATTAAGAGGGGGTCAAGGAGACGTTTTCTTTTTCATAACGATTGAAAATGAAAACACCGGGCAACGCCGGGTATTTTTCTAGCAAATAAAACTTATGAACTCAGCTCTTTGTTCAACTACGACTACTGAGACGGCGAAGGAAAATGGCCTAGGCGAATCAGCTACACAAAGTGAATGTCACGTTCTGCACATGCGCTGACGCTATTTTTCTAAAAGAAAAAATATGGTTACTGAATTGTGATAAAGCATAAGATTGTCGCATGATGCCAGTCAATGTTTTCAGTTTAATGCTAAATGCATGTTTAAAGCCAAATAATAAAAAAACACATTTGCTATTTAAACATGTTGTGAAGATCTAAGGAAACAGCCAACTGTGAGTCAATGCTAACTGTTATAAGAGTACCTCTAGCTAGGAAGTAAGTATCCTTCGTGAAGGTCTTCAAATGCTTTTCACGCACAAAATCTGTACTGCTTCTGAAGCAAATAATTGACGGTATAGCCTGGGATACTGTTATGTTATGAAGATATATAAAAAAAGGTAGCTCCAACTGGTATTAGCAACGCAACTATGTTGAAAAAATTGATTCCCAGTCGTGAGAGTCGTGCTACACCAGGCCAGGTACCCCAACAACCCTTTTTCTATTCCCTGACGTTGAATAATTTCAGATTCTTCGAAAACAGCCCGAACGCTGCAAGTTTTATTGCATTCGCCCGGAGCACGAAACTGGAAAAGACAGTGCGAGAGCGGAATACTCGAAATAGTTAGGGATATCACTACAAAACAAAAACTAGCTTTCTGTAAATTTATTTGACAATATATTTCACTTATAATAGCCCGAGTACCATACGTGTGTCCAACCTTTCGTTTGTCTTCCTCGTTAGAGCACTTCTGATAGAATACAACTATTTTCGAGCGGATGCTCCTACAGGAGTTGCAGTCTACCCTCAGATCCCATCGACACTGTGCAATGGCGCCGCTCCGCCGCCTCATCGCAACGGTACGGCCAGCAACAATGATATTTCAAAAGTATGATTTTTTCGCCGTCTTCCTGCAACTACAAAATTGAAGACAGAGAATTTACCTTCAAATGAAATATGTTGACTATAATAAGTTCTTTCATTACTATCATGTAGATTTCTTTAAAAATGTTAGTAGTTTTCGCGCAATTCTTTGGAATTTTGAAAATGTTTGGAATTTTAAAATATTACAGAAACAAGTTTTTCTCGTTAACATCTCCCAATTTTTTATATTAACTTTTGGTTGGGATAGTTTTAAATGCACTTTATAAGATGACGTAAACGCCACATTGCTCTATTCTTTTATTTTCCAAAAATACAAAAATTTAATTTTTTTACTTGTCTCTCAAGTAATTTTTACATTAGCGGAAATTTGTTCACATTAATTTAGTTATGAGTACATGTGCTTTAAATAATGTCATACATTTTCACGAACATTTAACGGTTTTCTGTTAAAATGGGCTCAATGCATTTTTTCTTAAAACTTTTGGTAGACATAGTGCTAAATGTACTCTATGAGATAACATAAACGCCATATTGCTCCATATTTAATGGTTTCAAAAATTACAAAAATGTATTTTTCACTTGTCTCTGACGTCGTTAGTATTTACATTGGTGGAAATTTGTTCACATTAATATATTTATGAGTGCATGTGCTTTAAATAATGTCGTATAAAGTTTCTCGAAAACTCAAAACACTTCTGTGAAAAAAGCGATCAAAATTCATCATTTTCAGAGACTCTAACTTCATTTTATCAAAAAATTGTTCTTGAAACTATTCCAATGGATAGTTTGGAATGTGTTTTAGTTTAATCTCCTTGACCCCCTCTTAATCTTTCCCTTTCTGTGTCTGTTTGTCTCTCTCTCGAAGGTTAGATTTTTTTCTGCACTTCGTACATTGTTGGATAACACTGTGTATGCCCGCGCCGCGTCTGGCATTGCTTTGCCTCGGCCGGTCTGTCAGAAGCAGGAGAAGCCAGATGTGAAACGTCCCACAAAATTGAGTTGGCAAGTATTTCAATCCTAAACCCTATTTAACTCAAATTGACGCTGGGTGGAAATTTAATTACGGTGGCGCGCTTCCCCTGCAGCACCTTCTCACAAGGAACTAAAACACGAACTGCTGCCAACGTCTTAAAAAACTTAAACGTGGCGGTAAGCTTGGCCTTGCGGTGCATTCCGCCGGGTCCGCAAAGCAAAGGCCCTTACAATGTTTCAAAAAGGTT